CAGAATGGGGCTGGTGCCTTGAATTGAATTTGCACTGCAAATATATCTTGCCACATGTCCTGACCCCACAGGGGCTTATTCATGATTAACTAGCCCTGTTTTTTGATGGGGCAGCTATTATGTGAGACTCAAAACTACAGATAGTTACCGGCTTTTCTCTTTAGCTATCACCATCTATACTGCTTGCAATTCAGCTTATTGGCTGCTTTCCCCAGTGCCATCATCCATCCAGATGGTATCTGTTGATGGTTGGTATGTGATGGCTTTCTATCGAGGGGGTGCCCTCAATAGGAGCTGTTGGTATATTAAGAAGTGGGGGCTTCTTCCAGCCATCTCACATGGGCCAGGGCATTGGCCTCATCATTGCCCAGATACATGGTACACAGTCACTGATTTATGTTGGCTGCTAGCATATATATCTTGCCCCATGTCCTGACTCCACAGGAGCTTATTCATAATTAACCATTCCTGTTTTTTCCACTGAGGCAGCCACAACATGAGACCCTTAAAAACTGCCCAGCTGTTGGTATAGATGGTTGCTGGGCTTTTCTCTTTGGCTATCACCATCCATAGTGTTTGCAGTTCAGCCCACTGGTTGCTTTGCCTGGTGCCGTCATCCATCCAGGTGCTATCTGTTGATGGTTGGTATGTAATGACTTTCCATCAGGGGGGTGCCCTCGAGAGGAGCTGTTGGTGTACCAAGCCTCTTCTGGCACTGGTGGCACCCCGTAATGAGTGAGGGATTACCACGGGTTTGGTGGGCACATTGTCTGGCTCCATAAACGTGACAGGTCCCAATAACTTATAGTTCGTGGCTTAGGGGACTTGTGGATAATTTAATGTGTTGTTGCAAGTAGGTGTGCTACTTGGTCACCGTGGTTGTCTGAGCACTGGAAGTATGGGGTTGCATGGTGATGTCATGAATCGGTCCAGCAATTGGCAATGCAGTCCTCACTGTCACAGCTGCCTGTCTGGTGCCCAGTTCTGTGGCTAGCAATGCTTGATAGGCAGTGTTGACTTGTTTTTATATAGGGCTATATCAGGCCTCTGCTCCTTTCCATGTCTAGGACCAGAACCTCATAGAAGCAAGCTTTCCCCTCTCATTGCTATAACCTCCACGTATAACCCTCCTGGGAATATTTATGTCCAATTCACAGGGTTGTGCTGGATTTAGAACTCCCAGTGCTTGCATGCCCCATTCTGTTGCTTTTGCAGAACTGAAAGCAGCTTGACACTCAGATGTCCAATCCCATTTTGCTTCATTTTTTACTAGCTTGTATAGAGGCCTCACCATTTGAGCTAAATGGAGAATGAACATCCCCAGTATCCTAACAATCCCAGAAATTCCTGGAATTGTTTAACACTAGTCAGCTTAGGGTATGCCTAAATCTTGTCTATTACTGCAGAGGGCATTACTTTTGTCTTACTCAGCCAGATAACACCAAATAATTTGACAGATAATCCAGGTCCCTGGACCTTGTTTTGGTTTATAGCCCATCCTCTCCTCTATAGGTGAGTGATAAGGGATGGAGTAGCCTCCTCCAAATCTGTAAGAGAATTGGAAGTTATCATAATGTCATCAGTATAATAGAATAGTCTCACTGATGGAGGTGCCGTCCATTTTCCCAAATCTTCAGCGACCATTTCATGGCAGATGGTAGGACTATGTAGATAGCCCATCAGCAAAACTGTGAATGTCCATTGACATCCTTCCCAAGTAAAGGCGAATTGGTCTTGACTATCTGGATGGTCATCAATACTAAAGAAAGCATTAGCCAAGTCTAACACAGCATGATGTGCCCCCAAAGGAGTCCCTAATTTATCCATAATATCAGTAATATTAGGTACAGCCACATGTAAAAGAGGAATTACCTTATTTAGTTCTCTATAGTCCACAGTCATTCTCCAGGTTCCATCTGGTTTATAGATGGGCCACACCTGGGAGTTATATGGACTATGGGCTGGGCGTTTTATTTTCACCTTGGCCAGTTCCATTATAGTTTCCCTAATATTCTTGTGACCCCTTGGCAACTGATATTGCTTAGTTGCCACTATTTGCAGGGGTGGCAGCAGTTGCACCAGGGAGTGCTGTGCTTTACCTCTCTGTATCTTTCACAACTCTTCTTCGTAGGTGAAACTCCTCCACACTAGTATGCAAACACAAACCTTGCAGTATATCAATCCCCAGTATGTGTTCCCTGATCAGAAAGATATATACAGTATGTTCCTTTGAGGGGTTGGGGTGGGAGGAGCCGACCAATCTTAATATCAGCTTCACCTTTCTTACTTTAATGGATTGCCCACCATACCCATCTATAGCAGTAATTGACCCCTCGAATTTTGATGGATTCCCATATATGTATATTTGGTTCCTGTATCTATCAACGCAATCTCTCTGTATGTTCGGCAGAGACCAGTATATAGCAAGCTCCTCATGGGGCCTCCCGCATTCCTCTGTCCCTTGGCCCCACCCCTAGGCTTGGGACCAAGGGAACATGAAATTTGTCTTGTCTTCCTCTGGAGGAGCACTTGGTTCCACTTGTGAACTATAGAGGGCAACTTCATCAAGTCCTTCAGCTGTGTCTCTGCCTACCCTCCCCGGAAGGAGTCCGTTCCCTTATCAGCCAAGTCTCTGGCCATTTTTCTGGCAGGGTCTGGAACCATTTCTCTTTGGGCAACTATCGCCACAATTTAAGCAGTGTGACATTTGGCTACTTATTTAATTTTTGGATTGACCCCTGGTTTAGTTAGGTCCACCCACAGCTGCTTTCTAGTAACCTTCACTGGCTCCTTCTGACTTCCCTTTTCCCCTCTTTTCCCTTTTGGTGCTGCTGCTTTCACTTTGCAGCTTTGTTTCTTTTGTCGTATGATTTTAGTTTTCCCTGGGTCAGCTATGGCCTGTGCCACCCTTTGAATGTATTGTCCTACTAGAGATGACAGAATGGATACCAGTGTTTCATTGCAGCTACTGGGAGCCGACTGTATAACCCTGTCTTTCATTCCTCCAGTAAATTGTACCAAGTTCGGACCACAGAAGGGGTCTCAGTAAATAGCATGTCTCATTCCCAGTTCCCTAGGGAATTCTTGCAAATCCTCCATGGTAGACCACCAAGGAGGCATTCCTGGAATGCTCCCTTCATCGGGCTGGGCGGCTTGGCAGCCCGCCATGATCCAAGTCACCCGGGAGGCATTTTCATCATGTTGCCCTGCTCTGTAAATGCACTGCTGGAGTGAGGGATGATTGGTGACCAATATCATTTTCACCAGTTCATCCCCTGACAACACTATGCTATCGACCTCTGTATCCCACAAACGGAGCAGCCACTCAGGAATGCTCTCTCTTTCTGACAAAACTTGATAGCTAGTTTTCCTAGCTCTGCCGAGGCATGAGAGTAGGTGCTTGTATGCATATATTTTAGAGGAGGAAGCAAATCTTGGGCATTTGCCCTCTGCTCATTCTTAAGCTAGTCTTAAGCTTTTGCATGATTACTGGCCTAGCCTGAGGATTTTCTGCTTCATCCTCTATCACCTCCACTTGGACATTCTCATTGTCCTCATCTGAGGTATCAGTCTCAGAAATGGGCTCCCATTTTCTAGGATTCCACTCTGGATTTGTCACTATTGTGCGGATCTTAGCCCACAGCAGCTGCTTTCCTTTCATTTTCACAAAACATCATACTAAAATGTGTAGATGGTCAGTGGCTTGGTGCAACTGATGTGCTGTAATATCCTTGCTGTCAGCCTGAGTTAAATGAGCCTCTTTCTAGCCTTAACTTTTCCTTCAACCTCAGTCCTTGGCTCCATGACTCAATTTCCTTCTTGGTTGCTAACTTGAGCCCCCAGAGGAGTGGCCATGCCACCAGGGCAGCCACAGCCTTGTATTCCTTTTTCTTCTGAATACCTCCTTTTTCTTCAACTGCCTTCAACACCTCCATCTGTCCTGCTGGCATTTTGGGGATATCCCCATACTCGTGGTGGTCCCCTGCTATTTACCAAGCTAGCAGCATTGAACCACATTGAACCAGTGATCCACCCAGGTATTTCCCCTGGGACGTTTCTCTTGTCCCCTTCCTCTCTCTTGCAGCCACTTCAGTGGGGGATTTCTCTGAAGTATCCTGCTAGTTACTCCAGTTGTAATGCAGGAGCCACAAATCTGAGAGGGCACTTACATAATGTTTACCCACTCCAAAGAAATCACCTGGAGGTTCAGCAGGTAGAAACATTGGTTTATTAGACTTACGAGAGGCACCGATGGTGTCCAGTTGGTAAGAAGTCCTCACCGCCCTGGAGTATATACAGCAGTTATGTAGTTAACAGATCAAAGTAGGGATGTAAATCATTTTCAGGCTTACATGCAGACCCTCACTCAGCTCACATAAGTCAGGGAGCACCCAACTTAAGGCCAAGTAGATAATTTACCAGCTAATCTCCTGCCGTCAGAGTGTTTGCTCCCTTACTTAGTGTTCTGCTTCTTCCAGCATTCTAGTTGTCTAAAGGGGATGTGTGTTTCCTTGGGTAACTGCCTTGGCCAGGGGCAGCCTCCCAAGGAGGGGGGGGAGGGGGAACTTTGGTATACAAGGGAGGAGGGAAGAGGACTATGTCCAGCATCTATCTTACAGTACTCCCAGTCTTGCACCGCCACCCTTGTACCAGGCTCTTTCCTGCATGGGTACGCTCATGACTCTTCTCCGGCTTTGACTCCCCACTCCAGGCCACCCTGTGCGACTATCCTCCTCACCCTCCTGGGCCCCAACACTCACTCCAGGCCACCTCCACATAGGTGCCTACTTCACTCTGGCCCACCTGGTGGCTGAGGGCTAATTTGTTCCAGAAAGGCAGGGAAAGAAAGAGAAAGGGAAGAAGAAGGGAAAGGGTAAGGGAATGAGGAGGCCTCATGCACTCTTTTAGGAAAAGACTGAGCTTCTGAGTTACTGACTGTCCTTTAATACAAATAAATTAATAAACATATTTTAAGTCTCTGTATTTTGTCTCTTGAACAGGTTATGAAGTTCATGGGATGGAAAAAATACCAGAAGGACCAGCACTTATAATTTTTTATCATGGAGCTATTCCCATAGATTTTTACTACTTCATGGCTAAAATTTTTATCCACAAAGGCAGAACTTGTCGAGTAGTAGCTGATCACTTTGTCTTTAAAATTCCAGGTAAACTTTTACTGTAGATAGTAGTATGAAAGTATTTAATTAACATGATCAAATTACGTGGTAGTCTCTACCTTTGAGCTCTCTAGTATCATTTGGAAAAGATTTTGGCTCTTTTAAGGTAACGCTTGGAAGTCTAATTTGGGAATGTCTAATTATCCTGTTTAGGTGGTATATCTAAAAATAAAACATGGCTAAAAATGTTATCTAGTTTCTTTTTTTGTTAATAGGTATTTAGTCATTACTTTTCTAAGTTAAATCCTGAATTTTAACTTTTTAAAAATAAATTTAATTTTTGCCAAACTATTAATTTATATTTTGATGTAGAAGGTAGTTGATATTTCATGTGATAAAGTTTTCTAGGAGATACTGACTATTGAGAGTTTAATTTTGCTGTAATTAGAGTTTGGTAACTGTCAGTTTGATAGCAAAACAAAATTAGTAAAAAAAAAAAAAAAAGAAAAAAGGAAAGTTAACCAGGATATATTTTGTCTTCATATAATAACATTATATTACCCTAAAGAATATACATTATGTCTCTTATCATACGCAACTTGCCTGGTAGACTCTGTGACTGAGGACTATATTCTTTTTCATGTTTGTAAAAGCTTTTTACCTTTTTAAGAAGACTAATTAACCAAGTGGTTTCAAACACGATAGAGTTTTTTTTAAATCATTCTTGAATAATCTTGTATTTTCTTCTGTCGCTAAATCGCTAGAAACAAGCCAAGAAAGTTGATTGTATGTTCTCTAGGATAATAAATATAAAGCCAACCCATCAACCAGACAAACAAACCAGGCAGTGAATTAAGTAATGATCTACTTCAGTGACTTTCATAAACATGGTTAATTCTTCGGGTATCCCTCTGTCACTAAACAGCTTTTTGTATTTTGTGTATAAACTAAGTTGGCTATACGATTTTCCTCTAAAAAGTAACATGATCACTTTATAATAGATTTGGAAATTAGAAAACAGAAGAACATTATTATGATCTTACTATGCTAACATAACCAATTATCATTTTGATTTATTTTACTTCATTTTAAATTTGCATATTTTCAAATATTATGCAAACAGTTTTGTGTTTTTTTTTAAGATTTAATGTTAGCATTAACACTTTACTATGTTTTATGAGGAACAGTTTTAATGTATGACTAAAATATTAACTAATTTTCTCTATGGAACATTACATTGCTTTCTCTTCCCCCCCCTTTTCATAAATAATAAAATGTGAATATTTTTAGCATGTGGCTTTTTCAAAAAAATTTCCCCCTTTACGAGCCTTTTTAGTATTTTTTCCTTTTAATATTTTGACATTTATTTACCTTAAGCCTGTTGTTGCTCTTTGAAAGTATTATAATTTTTAGTGCAAGAGAAAAGATTTTATAATTTATCTTGTAATTTATGCAACCTCCCCTTTCCATTCATTTATTATGAGAACGCATCAAGTTAAATCAGTGAGCTTTTAATACAATGTAGGGTGAAAATTATTTCACTCTTAATGATATTTTTAATCTTACTTCATATCTTTAAACCAATGAGAAGTTTTGGTTAGTCTGCACAGTTTTTAGCACCCATCCCTATATTTTCCAGTCTCAAGGAATAATGTTTCTTATGAAGTTTCAGTGTAGGATTTGATTAAACTATTTCATTACTGACAGGATTATTTCTTTCATCCATAAATAGTTGTAATTTGAAAAGCTGTATAATATTAAGACTTAGAATTAGCTGTTCCTCAGTCAAACACCCTCACTTTATTAAAAACTCTTAATGATGTTTGGTATTATTATTAATTTTCAAAACTTTAATTGTAGAATTAGCATCATCTAACTTTTAATTTCAATAGATTTGCTTATGGTCTTGCCAATTTTGGTAGGGCTAAGCACAGTCATATTCACATTCTCTTGAGTAATTCTCTTATAGAGTTAAAGAAAGGTTAGATTTGTGATTGCTGGTGGAATATTATTTCTGATTACTCTAATAAATACTTTAGACAGTGTTTGGCCATGAGATGCAGGGGAAGGAGCTTTGGACTAGACACACCCAGACTGGAATCTCTGCCCTGCCACTTCCTAGGTGTGTGACTTTGAGCAAGCTACTTATTCTCCAAGCCCAACTTTCCTCAAAATCTGTAAAATGGGGAGAAGAATCTCTGTTTTGCAAGATTATTGTGAGTTTTAATTGACGGTTTGAATATGTAAGGGCCAGGATAGTAGGTGATCAGTAACATGTAGCTATTACTTCACCAGCAGTGTTAATCTTAAGAGTTTTTATTGCTTTTTCTTTTTTTTCTTTCTTTTTTTTTTTTTGTAGCTGGCCAGTGCAGGGATTGAACCCTGGACCTTGGTGTTATCAGCACCATACCCTAACCAACTGAGCTAAGCGGCCAGTTCTTTGTTGATTTTAAAAAATAAAGAGTTTACTGATTTAAATATAGATAGTAAAATATGTAGGTTGTGAAGAGTTTTGCTCTTGAAGAACTGAATAAGAAGTACTTGATGTATATCTTCGTGCTCATGTTTCTTACAGGGTTTAGTTTATTACTTGATGTGTTTTGTGCTCTACATGGACCAAGAGAAAAATGTGTTGAAATTCTGAGGAGTGGTCACTTGTTAGCTATTTCACCAGGTGGAGTTCGGGAAGCCCTAATTAGTGATGAAACCTACACCATCGTATGGGGTAATCGTAAAGGTTTTGCTCAGGTCGCAATTGATGCAAAAGTGGTGAGTTGTATAAAATTAATTATTAAAGTAAAGCTTAGTTAAATTTAAAATAAATGCTTAAATAGTGAGCCAAAGTATATAAGAACTTAGATATTCTCATTGCAATACTTTAAAAATCAGTAGTATATATATATTTATAAGGTACAAGTAGAGAAATGTTTCTTGTGCATGGGAAGCCATCTTATAATGGAAATTTGGCAAATATCCAGCAAAGTTTTATTTTGCATTTCAAACTCCGGCTTCTTTTCATCAGATTTGTAATACTGTACAAATAACTTTGTGTTCCTTTGGGAATACTTTTTAAAATAAGTATAGTCAGTTCAATTCCATATATTTTAACCTTTTGGTATGATTGAGTTGGCATGTCAGTAATGATTGTTGGTTTCATTATACTGCATATAGATCTTTTATTTATGACCAATATTTATAACAGTAGGACTCATGTAGTATATGACTCCTATCATTTTTCATTAGCAAATGTGATCAGCTATTTAATATTATGAATAAAGATAGGAAATAGACATTGTTGTAACTTAGATATTCTTGAAAGACTTTACAAATTAATTTGTCAACAAAATTAAGTGTTCCAGTGGGATTCACGGTAATTATTCTACACGAATGCCATTTTGTTCTATTCTTTTACTTTTGGAAAGTATTTCTCAGCTTTTGGTTCTCCACATTGTATTTTATCCTGCGAATCACTTATTTATTAATTATGGAATGTTTCTCCTTTTTTTCTGTTTATTTTCATTTTAGATTGTCAGAAAAAGAAATCTAATTACCTTTGATATAGGGTGTTATTCTTTTTCCAGGCCAATTAGTTACAGACTGCTGCCAGCAACTTTCACATTTCTGGTTTTTTGTGTACCTGTTGCTGCCCCATAAAGAGACCAATCTGCACCGATAGTTTGACTGCCCATCTTGCAAATACAGACTATTGATTAAAAAGGAAAGATTATGGATGACTCATTCTAACCCAAGAGCAGTATTTGAAGAAGACTAGATATTTTGTCCTTATTTTCTAATTGCAAAGTTTACAATAAAATAAAATGCATTGGGATCTATTCTCTCCTGTACATATGTACGTGTGACTCCTAGAAGTTATTGCTCCAGTGCTCTAATAATGTGATCCTAGTACAAATTAATGTACTTGCCCAAGTGTTTAATAATAATAACATAAAAATTTAAATAATACTGTCCTACAGTAGATTATAAGCTCGCTGAGGACAAGGCTATCTTTTTTTTTTAAGTTTATTTATTTATTTGTTTTACATTCTAAGATGTTGTTGTGGACCAGTTGGGGGGGGGGGAGAAGGGAAGGGGGGAGGAAATAGGGGAGGAGAAGGAGGAAGGAGGGGGTCATAGTCAAGGCCCGTGGCACCCCCCTCATTCCTGCAGGGGATCCCGGGGCACTTCCTGCAGCAGCTCAGTGATGGTCCCTGGGCTGTTTGCAGATGTCAGGGGGTGTGGCCAAAGGCTATTTTTTAATATTCTAAATCTCTGGTACAATGACTAGCATTGAGGAGACTTTAAGTATTTTTTAAGTTGAATTTACTTTTTTTTTTAAACACTAGTTGAAAGGAGCCTTTTGCATTTAACTTTATATTAATTGTGTTAATGATATAGAAAATTAATTTATAGCACATTTTACATATTTTCCCCCAATTCTTAAGCACTGATGTAGAAAACAAAAACAGAGTATATGAATAATATCGAATATAAAAGGATATATGCAGTTGTACAAAAGTTAAAGATAACCAGTGTATTGTACATTAAAGCAGTGATAAAAACTAAAAACCTAATCAAAGGTGGTTCACTTTTCAGGTTTATATTTTGAAAGAATTATTTCTTCAAAAATTTAAGATAAAGATTTCAAAAAAGAGATTTGAAATCGCGTAAATTTACCATGGGATTCTAATTTCTCATCCTTAAGTTTATAGTTTTTTTTTTTTTTTTATTCCTTTTTGTCTTTTTTACTGACCGGTAACGGGATCGCAACCCTCGGTGTCGTGCCCGTACCGGGGACCGGCAATGGGATCGCAACCCTCGGTGTTGCGTCCGCACCGCGCTCAGCCAGTGAGTGGGAACCGGTCTCCACATGGGATCCGAACCCTCGGCGGGAGCGCCGCCGCGCTCCCAAGTGGCGCACTCTCCAGTACGCCACCAGGCCAGCCCAAGTTTATAGTTTTAAGCAACATATTGCTTGGAAGAAGGCCTGAAAGTAAGAAATGGTAGCGAGAAAAGAACTCTTTCTAATCCTTGAATGAGTTTCTAGATAATTAATGAAGATAATCTAGATAATTTAATTAAGGTTTTTGTATAAAACTTCAGAAAATTTAAGAAATTGCCTTTTATAAATTAAAAAACAAACAAAAATCTTTAATGCTGTGGATTTACAATTAAATAGCATTACAAGTTTGACAAATACTGTGCCACCCCAACGTTTTGTAGCATTTTTAAAGACTTTGTCTTGGTACTCCTGTACAGTAAGGAGGTGACGTATGTAATTATTCCAATATTACAGATGAGGAGACTCAGGCACAGAGAGATGGAGGGATGGAAGGGCTCTGGTCACACAGCAAGGCAGCAGCAGAGCAGAGCACACAGTTCAGGACTCGAGGCAACTGGTGCTGTTGCCATCCCTGACTACATGCCGCAGTGAGTCTGCTGAAATCCCAGATCGGAGGGACCTTCCCGACATGTGAGGGAAAGCTTTCAGTAATATGTATATATACATAGTTGTAAAGGGCACAAGTATCCCTTCTGGAAAATCCCTTAATAGGCCTGATAAAATTATCATAAACTATGAGCAAAAGTTAAGGCTATTGTTGCATGATTAACTACATTTAAATTGGGACATAGCAACAGAAATTAAGAGAGAAAAATCCAGATTGTCAATGCAAGTTTACAAAATATTGGTAGAAAATATTTAAGGTTCATTTGAAGGTGAAAGACTTTTTGATATAATATAAATCACTCTTATTTTGTGAGTTCCTGAGAATTATGGCTTTGATAAGAATTTTTAGGTAACCTCATAGGTAAATAATTTGGTAAAAAATTAGCTTATTTACTCTAATTGAAAAATAAATAACCTGTAAAAGAACATTTTGTTTCAATAAAAATGTTTATATATATTATCTCACTTAAGCCATAATAAAACCTTTAAGATAAGGATTATTTATCCCCATTTTATACATGAAGAAAGTGCGAATTAGATGTGGTAACTTGTTCAATGTTTCCCACATTTTTAATGGTAAAGACTAAGACTATGCTAAAGTGATTCCCCAAGGAGAGTTTTAAGAAATATATATTTTCTCTTTCTCTCTGTCTTGCACACATGTGTGCACACACATATGAGGGTACTTCAAAAAGTTCATGGAAAAATGGAATTAAAAGTTAGTATGAACCTTTCTATGAACTTTTTGGAGTACCCTTATATGTACATTGACGCATGTATATATCTAAACAGAATTAAACTATCTTGTGTACAAATTGTGCACAAGGAAAGGAATGAATAAATGTGCTACAAGATCAAGTTGTAATGAGGTAATAATGCTTGTGGCTTTCAGGATGCAAGCTTGAATGCAAATTTAGAAACCGTATGCCTGGAGTACTAAACCTGATAGGGTATGCATTCTCCTATTTAGTAAGTTCTACAGATGACCAGCATTCAGACAGTTAACTATATAAGGAATGATGTTTAACTTGAGTAGTCTTTATAAAGTGAGTATTTCAATAGAGACTCTTGGGATCACGCCAATCGGTAGACATAAGTCCAGCAGTACTGGTTAGAGGAGGCAAAGTGGTGTATATAATGAGCTGAAGGGTTTCTCGGGTATTCTAAGTTCTCGAGTTTAAAGACATTTTAAAACTGTTTAAAACATTAGGATTTCAGCTGTTATTTTATTTTATAAAACTACTGGTGACTTCCTAGATAATAACATGAGAAGTATTTTTTTTTGTGAGAGAAGTCAGTATAGTTTATCTTCTTATGTGTTAGCTTTGTAAATTTTCTCCATCAGATTTTAAATTCTTCATCTGACTGCTTTTCTTTACCTGACTTCTCTCCTTTACCTGACTTCTCTCCTTTTCCTGATTAGTTTTGAGATTGCTGCTGCCTATTTCTGACCTTTGTATGCAGAGAATACAAATTAATTCATTAGAACCATTCTCTCTCTGCTGTGTTTATTCATTCCTCCTTTCTTTCGTTAATCACACTTTCTTTTGGCACCTAGTTTATCTCAGGCACTTTTCTAGATGCTAGAGATACAGTAGTGAACAAAACAAAGTCCCTGAAACATATTAGGCATCTTTCTTCCAGTAAGAGCAGAGATACAATAAATGATCAGTAGTTATGTGTGAGACAGTAGCTTATATAAAGAAAGCTATACCTGTAGTCTCTTTTCTTCAGCCTATCATATTGTATTGTTTTCCAAAGCTGATTAGGAATGACTTTTTAAATATCAGCTTATTTAAATTTCTCAAACCTTGCTCATTAAGGCAGGTAATTCTCTATTAGGCATAGACTGATACTGAACTGTAAGGAACTTGATACTGGCCATACACACGCAGAATTTTATGTATACTAAAACATTTAATTCAGTATATTTTGTGTATATTTTAAAGTGTTTCATTCAGTTTTACAGCTCTACTGCAGTATTCACGGTGGCAGAAGCTCCTTACATGACACTTCATTATTTTATGAAATTTAATTAAGGTTTCCATAATTAAAAATTATCTTTAATCGTTGATATTCATAGAAAAATAAAAATCATGAACTTGTGAGCAGAAATCCTTTAAAATTAATGATATAAAGAATTCTTTGTATCATTCCTTTTTTTTTTTTTATGGTGAGTCTTATACTTACTTTTTATTGATGTTGAGCATTTTAGATTTAGTAGCCTCACAAGAAATGGTGTTTCACTAATTCTGTGACAGCATCTTGCCAAAACTTGTCATTTAAATTTATATAAATTCTCTGTAGAGAGAATCTCTGTCTTGTAACTTTTCTTCAGTGAACATTCAATAGCCCACCAAAACCAATTTAATTCACCACAATTCATTTTACTTAATAAAATGAATGATTATTGTAATTTCTATTTTGAGTTTCAAGGGTTTATATTGAATGTTAGGAAAATTGGTAAATGAAATATTATGTATTACCACTGGAGGGTAGTGTTTCCAATTTATATTTTTACAAATGATCAAGTTGAATTTAATCTGATAAAGTGCACTAGTCAAGCATGCCTTTATTTTTAAAATATTTTATTTTCATAATCTTATGCCCTCAAAATTGACATTTTAAGTTAGTGACTCAATGGAGACATTGAATGGATTAATTTATTTACTTTTTAATTCAAATTCTCATTTTCCTTAGCCCATTATTCCTATGTTTACACAAAATATTCGAGAAGGATTTAGATCACTTGGAGGAACAAGTAAGTTTTGATTTATACAGTTTTTAAATACAGTGTAATATTTAAAATATTTGGGCTTTTGAGCCCTAGAAGGAATCCTTTTGAATTATTAACTTTAGAAAATGAGTTTACTATTTAGATGTTTTTTCTGTTTAAAGTCTGAATGATACCTGGTTCTAAGTAATGGCAGTTCTTAGATGTTATGTTTTTGTTAAAAGTGTTATATACATACTGAAGCTTATTTGTAGTGGACTTTTAAAAATTTCAGATCGACTTAGCTGATTTATTTATTCTGTTAAACCATGTTGATGAGGTTTAGAACAAATTTACATACTACCCATACCATCTTTTTAGCTCAACCTTGAAGAAATTACAGCTTTAACAATGGATGACAATACAATATTGAGCTAAGATTAACAACCTAAGGAGATATCATTTGCTTTGGTTTATTTTTGTTACTTGTTTTTTTTTAAATAATATTTTGAACCATAATACATTTACATTGAAAAGTTCTTTTTACCTACTTTTAATTTATTGATTATTGGGGATAATTGGGTGGGGGACACGGGGTACAAACGAAATTTGTGGTAATAGGCATGCTGCCAGTATGAATCTGACCTTCACATCTTGGGCACCAGGGGTGACAATCAGCTGTGTATCTCATGAATATTCATAACCAGTAAAAAAAAAAAAGCTTTTTATCCAGTTATAGGAACGATAACAATTAGATGTGCATTTTATTTGCAATATGTCTTTTATTTGAAATTTTCAAAGTTTGTTTTTGTACCCTATGGTTCGTACATTATATTTGATTTGATTATATTTTATATCCCTAGCACTATTGTTAGTATTCCTAACCACATATAAGTTCCCTTCTAAAGACCTTTAAACTGCCATTGTTTCTTTTATATATAATGTTGCTATTTCATTAACATTCCATTTTTATTTATGTAAGTCACTTATTTGTGAGTCTATAGACTTTAGCTTTTAGCTTTTTTTTTTGGCAGCCGGCTGGTATGGGGAACCAAATCCCATGCTCTAACCAGTTGAGTTAACTGGCCAGCCCATTAGCTTCTAGCTTTTGGTTGCAGTCTTACCTTTGTTTTCAATAATAGTAATTAGATTGCCTTTTTATTTATTTATTTATTTATATTTTTTGTCCTTTTTGTGACTGGTAAGGGGATCGCAACCCTTGGCTTGGTGTCACCTGCACCGCGCTCAACCAGTGAGTGCACCAGCCATCCCTATATAGGATCCGAACCCGTGGCGGGAGCACTGCTGTGCTCCCAGCGCTGCACTCTCCCCAGTGTGCCATGGGGCCAGCCCTAGATTGCCTTTTTAAATGCTCATATTTTTAAAAACTCATCTTTTTTAAATTCATAGACTTAATTTTTTTGACATTTTAGGTTTAAGGAAAAACTGAGTATAAAGTACAGGGAGTTCTTATACATCTCCTTACCACCCCCCAGTTTCCCCTATTAGTAACATCTTGCATTAGTGTGGTATATTGTTATAACCAATGAAAAGCTCATCTTTTAAAAAAAATATTGTATTAATTGCCAGGAGGTGATACTTTTTGCCACCTTCTTTTAAGTCTTATATAATTAATTAGAAGATTTGCAGTTACATGCTCAGAATATTTAAACAATTAAAATAATTTTGTTTACTTTAAAACAGGATTATTTAGGTGGCTTTATGAAAAATTTCGCTATCCATTTGCTCCGATGTATGGAGGTTTTCCAGTGAAGTTACGGACCTATTTAGGTGATCCTATTCCATATGATCCAGAGATAACAGCAGAAGAATTAGCTGAAAAGGTAAATTATTCTTTTTTTTTGGTATTAGGATAGATTTTTATTTTCAATTATTATATTTAAAAAATCATTATTTCTTTATTGATATATTCTACAATCATGTTATAGATCAGTGATTCTCAACCAGTGATGATTTTGCCCCCCAGGTGATATTTGGCAATGTCTGGAGACATTTTTTATTTTTACAATTGGCAGGAGTTGGGGGAGGCAAGGTGGTACCACAGACATTTAGTGCGTAGAGGCCAGGGATAAAATTTATAGTTACCTGCAGGATATCTAGAAATATATTTCTATATGTAGGTTTTTGGGAATGCTGGACTGGAGTTTGGGAGGGAAGTCAGATTTGGTGATGAAGGTTTTGAAGTGATTTTCACTGAGACAGTTAGTGAAGCCATGAGATTTACAAGGCAGGTTGGAGAGAGAAAAGAGGACCGTGGATAGACTGTAGATGTAATATTTAAGGAGTAGGCCAAGAAAGGAGAACAGCCAAAGCTTACTGAAAGGGAACCAGCAGAGAGGGAGAATAAGTAAATTTGTGTGATAGAAGTCAGGGGAATGATCAGTAATATTAGATCTTGCAGAAAGATCAGGGAAGATGAGGATGAGGAAGACTGCTCAGTTTGCAGTTATACTTTGCGAGACCATAAAATTACAAAAAAAGCAATAAATATCATGTTATCAAATCACTTAGCAAATGGGATGAATGTATTTTGATTGTGACTTTTACATCAGCCTTTGGTACATACGAGGAATCTTCAAAAGTTAGTGGAAAGATTTGTATTATCTTTTAATTCAGGTTTTCCGTGAACTTTTTGAAGTCTCATATAGTCTGATTTATTAAAAAATATTTAAGTTGTGGTAAAAAACCACATAAGTTTACCATGTTAATGCTTTTTAAGCATACGGTTCCATACTATGAAGTACATTCACATTGTTGAGTAACAGATCTCTAGAATTTTTTCATCTTGCAATACTGACTGAACACCACTGACCAGACACCAGCTTCCCATTCCCCTGCCCCTCCAGCTCCTGGCAGCCACCGTTCTACTTTCTGTCTCTTAAAAGTTTGACTACTTTAGATATTTCATATGAGTGGAATCAAAGTATTTGTCTTTTTGCAATTGGCTTATTTTTCTTAGCATAATGTCCTCAAGGATTTTCCATGTTGTATCATGTGATAGAATATCACTCACCCTTCTTATCTAAGGCTGAGTAATACTACATTGTATATATTTAACACATTTTCTTTGTTCATTTGTCAGTAGACAGACTGTTTCTACCTCTTAGCTATTGTGAATAATGGTACAGTGAACAATGGATGTGCAAATATCTCCTTGAAATCCTGCTTTCAGTTCTTTTTGGTATATACCCAGAAGTGAGATTGCCAGGTCATTTGGTAATTTTATTTTAAATTTTTTTTTAGCAACCTCCATACTGTTTTCCATATCAGCTGTACCATTTTACATTCCCATCCACAGTGCTACAAGAGTTCTGATTTCTCCACATCTTCTATAACACTCGTTATTTTCTGTTTTTTAATTTTTTTGATAGTGGTCATCCTAATGGGTATGGGGTTATATTTCATTGTGGTTTTGATTTGCATTCTGTAATGATTAGTGATGTTGAGCATCTTTATGTGCTTGTTGGCTGTTTATATATCTTCTTTGGATAAATGTCTATTCAAGTTATTTGCCCAATTCTTAGTAATTTTCCTTTTTTTTTTAGTTGCAGAACTTCTTTATTTATTCTGGATGTTAATCTTGTGTCAGATATATAATTTGCAAATATTTTCTCCCATTCTGTATATTCCTTTTTAATTTGTTGATTGTTTCCTTTGCACTGAAGTTTTTGAGTTTGATATAGTTGTATTTGTCTATTTTTACTTTTGTTGCTTGTGCTTTTGGTGTGTTATTTAAGAAATTATTACCAAATCGAATGTCATGAAGCTTTTCTCCTATGTTTTCTTCTAGTTTTATAGTTTTAGATCTTATGTTTAGGTCTTTGATCAATTTTGAGTTAGTTGTATATTATGTAAGATAAGAGTTCAACTTATCTTACAAATTCTTTTGCATGTGGATATCCAGTTTTCTCAGCAGCATTATTGAAGAGACTGTCCTTTTCCCATTGTGTGGTCTTGGCACTCTTGTTGAAGATCATTTGACCATATACAAGCATTTATTTCTGGGCTGTTTATTCTGTTCTTTTGGGTGTCTTTATGCTAATACCACACTATTTTGATTACTATAGCTTTACAATATCCTTTGAAATCAGAAATTATGAGTCCTCTAGCTTTGTTCTTCTTTTTCAAGATTGTTTTGGCTAGTCAGGGTCTCTTGAGGTTCCACATGAATTTTAGGGTGTTTTTTTCTATTTCTGCAAAAAAATGCCCTTGAGATTTTGATAGGGATGACATTGCATCTAGATTGCTTTGGGTAGTATGGGCATTTTAACAATAGCAATTTTTCCAGTTCATAAACACAGGCTGTCTCTCCATTTATTTGTGTTTAATTTCTTTTAGTGAGTTTTGTAGTTTTCAGTGTACAAGTCTTTCTCCTCCTTGGTTAAGTTTATTCCTAAGTATTTTATTCTTTTTTATGCTATTGTCTTCTTACGTTTTGTTCCTGTTGGTTATTGGGATTGTTTTCTTATTTTCCATTCCTGTTGCCCTATAGCTTGTCGTTAGTATATAAAAACACAACTGATTTTCATGTGTTGATTTTGTATCCTGCAAATTTGTTGAATTTATTAGTTCAGATTTTTGTGGAATTTTTAGGGTTTTCTACTTATAAGATTATGTCATCTGCAAACAGAAATAATTTTACTTCTTTCTAGTCTGATTTAATCCTCACATCAGCTCAACAGTATAGACCTTATTATCACTGTTTTACACATGAGAAAACTGGGTGATTTTCAGTCAGCTTTACAGGTTACATTAGTGTAACAACCAACCACAGAATCTTAGAGGCTTGACGGTACAATTTACTTCTTATTCATGTTATGCTTTCCCTGAGGCTCAACTGCGGTTTCGTCTATGTCTTCTTTATTTTGGGATTCAGGCTAGAACCCCATGTGGGATATTGTCATTTGCATGGTAGAAGGAAAAGGTCAGGAGCAGAACCATGAGATGGCTCTTAAGGCTTCTATTTGGAAGTAACTCAGTCACTCCCACTGACATTTTATTGGCCAGAGCAATTGCATGGCCACACTGAACTTCTATAAAGCTGGACCTGAAATTTTCCCACAGGGATGGCCCAGAAGAGAGAGGACCTAGTAGGGAGTAGGAATGAATGACTAGAATACAATCTGCCATCTGGGGCTTAACAAGTTCAGTCACTGATAGAAGGATGTACAGCTGAAGCAGCTATAACATTACATAGGTGAGACTGTTCACATTGAGCAGCTGATACACAGGAAGTTTCAGAAAGGTAGCAAGAACAATATATAATGTGCCTTCTTGTCCTCTGGTTATTCTACTGTTTCAGTAAGTATACTCACCATTTAGTTCTAGCCTATGTTCAGAAAGTAAAATCCTGTGACACTGACTTTAGGGCCAGGATGTGTTCTTCACACAGCATGACTCTTCTCTCATCCTGAAACGATACCTTCTCAGGAGCTCCAGGAGTCCTGCACTAGTGCTGAGACCTCATCCTTAGATGTGGCTTCTGCCCACACATGCTTTGTTGTTTAATATATCTCTTTGCTGCTCCCTAACAAATGCATTCTCCTTTAGGAAATCATTGAATTCTATTTTATCCTTTTAAAAACTTTTCCTGCCTATCTATTAGAAGGTAAGTGGGTCAGAGCTAGTTAGGAACACTTTTTTTGAAATGGTCAAAATAGAAGGTAATGAAGAGGGGAAAAAATCTGGTCTGGAAGTTTGGATATCTGGGTTCTAATCCTTGCTCTGCCACTAGGCAGTAGTGTCACTTTGAAGAAATGGTATGTTCTTCTGTAAGTTGACATTATTGAGCCCCAAAGTCCTTCCTTGACACCTCAGTTCATACCAAGCAAAGATAATTTTACACTTGATGTTTAACTCCCTTCATGATTTAATTGAAAACGAATATTAAAACCTTATACCACCCAACTTTTGAATATGTATCTGAAACTCCAGCACAACTGGTTAACTCCTCCTCATTCCTTAAACAGTGGTCTTGTTTTCTTCTCTTCTCTTTTTTTTTTTTTTGTGTGTGTGTCCTTTTTGTGACCGGTAAGGGGATCGCAACCCTTGGCTTGGTGTCGCCTGCACCGCGCTCAGCCAGTGAGCGCACCAGCCATCCCTATATAGGATCTGAACCCGCGGTGGGAGCGCCGCTGCGCTCCCAGCGCCGCACTCTCCTGAGTGTGCCACGGGGTCAGCCCAACAGTGGTCTTGTTTTCAAGTGCTCCTTCCTTCACTGTCCCTGAAAACTGATGGGTCATTGGAGACCCACACCAAACACTACCCCATTCATGAGTCCTCTCCTGGTCACTGCCCACCCAATGGGCTCTCAAGTCTGAATTTCTGAATACTTTCTTTTCACATTTCAGATCATACATACGTATCTCAAATGATTTCACATTTTAATTACTTCGTAATTGATTCTTCTGATTAAAGTTACGAGTTCCTTGAGATTAGAGACTTATTTCACTAACATTATAGTTTCCAAAGCATTTAATATTTTCTTAATGAATGAATAAAATTTTAGAAATACACTTCACAGAATAAAACCTGTCAGTCACTGTTCTAACTACTTGAAGATGTCATTTGTTTCATTTATTCCTTATAATACTCTATGAAGTAGTTCTTATTTTACAGATGTGAAAAACTATGTTTAAAGAGACATATTTTAAAAATACAGCTTTGTGTTAGGGTTTGTTAATTTTATTTAAAGGTTAGAATCTAAACAGAAAGCGTGTATGTGTGTACATGGATGCAGTATGTACATGCACAAATAAAGTTTTAAGTAGCCGTAAACTGATTTAAAAGTAAAAATTGTTGATATTTGCCATAAATGTAATGGGAAACAAATAGCTTTAGAAGATTTCTTGGTATAGTCTAATTGACTGATCCATGCTATGACTCAATTAAAATTCCTGTGAAACTGTGTAGAAACTGAGGTAATGAACTAAAGTATATCAGTTTGTTCTTTTTCTCATGTTTTCCTATTGCATTGCCTGATGTAATTGTTTGGTATATATGGTGATGAAACAAAGATACACTAGAGTTTACTAATGGCTGGAAAGAACTGAATCTTCTATTTGCCTACTTGAAAATTTCCTACCAGGTTTTTTCTTCTGATTTCTTTTTTCTTCAGTTCATTTGAGTGCTTATCATGTGCAAGGCACTGCTGTGCTCAGTGCTGGGAAATTCTAAGATGTATCTTAAGGCTATAGTCTGGTGTAGAAAAGAGCCATGTGGACAACAACTGTAATTCAAAGCTTAATAAAATAAATATAAGAAATATGCTACGCTGTACTGAGAAGAAAATCATTATTCTGAAGGGAAATGGGGGCTAAATTAGGGAGGACTGCTTAATAAACATCTTTACAAAATAAATGATCTGTATTGAGAACTAGAGGAATAATAGCTCTTTTTTGTTTTCTTAATAGACGAAGAATGCTGTTCAAGCTTTGATTGATAAGCACCAGAGAATACCAGGAAACATTATGAGTGCTTTGTTAGAACGTTTTCATAAAAAACAGAAGTTTGACTAGAAGATGATTTAATACATTTATATTAATGTGTTTTTGTTTATGGTACTGTCTTCTAAATTTTGTAGATCATGTAATTAGTATTTATAAATAATCATGTTAATAAGCATCTTTCCCAGAACTCGTCTGTTTAAAATTGTATTGTCAATTTTGTTTTTACAGTCATTTCACACTTACACAGTAACTCATTATATGCCTAATAATTCAGAAAAATGATCATTTTTTCATTTGTAAATTCCTAATAATGTATGATAAACATATAGATTCTTAAAGTTGAGTTTATTAAGCACAGCTGTTTAGGTTAAACAAACATTCCTGATTAGTGCATCTAATTTCTCTGTGTATTGCACTGAACTCATTTCAAGAGATGGCATAAGCTAGGGTTTAGTTCAGTCACTTATGTTAGAAAAAGAATGCTTTTTATCTGCCCCTCATTCCCTTCATGACCTTGGGCAAGTCACATAATGTTTTTGTGCCTCAACAATTCACTTTTTAAAAACACGATAATACTATGGTGAAGAATATTATTTTAAGTTCTTTATATTTGCTGTGATTGATAACTGTTGAATTGAAATTATAACTGAATTAATTAAACAATAGCAGAATCCTTTAGGAGTTAGGAGTTATGTATATATTTTGTCATTGGATGTATAAATTATTCTTTCAGATATTATGTCCAGTTGCCAAGCACAGTGACAAAGATGTATTGTTTTTCAAATCGAATAAAAAAGAAATTAGGAAAAGTAAAATTTCTAATTATTATTTTTAGTATTTATTATATTTTTATCAAAAGCCTGTAAACAAAATATAGGCTATCCTGTGTGTTGCCAGCCTTATGCCATGGCATTTAACAGTGCAAGGCTAAAAATCACTATTGTGCTCTGCACTTTGTGTATGAGAAGCTGATTCTAGGCAGAGGAAAGCAGAGCTTTCCACTTTTGCTCAAGATCATGGCTTATCCAGCTTGACTTCGCAACCAGTGAAATGGTTTATGGTTTCAATAAAAATATACTTGAATGATGAATTTATGTGAAAACAAAGTTCTCTAAAAAATTAATGGCTTTTGATTTGTTGTCTCATTGAAAACTGAATTTAAGAAGTATTTAAACAGAAAAGTATCAGAAATCAAGTGCAGTATCTCCTTCCCCTTTTTTAGATGTTAAATTACTTTGTTTTTTGTATAGATTTTTGTATTACAAGTGTGTATTTATGATATGTTAATGTATATAAAAATTAAGCAACGTAAAAGTAAAGCTGAATTGCAATGTATTGTCTTGTGAAATTGCACATGTGACATTTTCTTACCATTTCCAACTGATTTTTTTTTTTCCTTTTTGTCTTTTTTACTGACCGGTAAGAGATCGCAACCCTCGGTGTCGCGCCCGTACCGGGGACCGGCAACGGGATCACAACCCTCGGTGTTGTGCCCGTGCCGCGCTCAGCCAATGAGCGGGAACCGGTCACCACATGGGATCCGAACCCTCGGCGGGAGCACCGCCGTGCTCCCAAGCGGTGCACTCTCCAGTGCGCCACTGGGCTGGCCCTCCAACTGATTTTTTTGTTTTACTTTATACACATCTCTTACTGACACGTATTCTTTTATTTCAGCTACAGTGAATAAATTTAACATAATAAATACATTTTAATTTCAACTTCAATGAAAAGAATCAATTAATGATTATTTGCAGTTTTTTCCCCCTCCAGCAGTGAACAGTGTCTGGTTCAAAATTGCTAAATATTTCCAAAATGAATAAGTAAATGATAATAAAATGAGTGAGAAAATTGTTTGGGGGCAACTATTGGGTTTTTTAAAACTGAAGAAAGCACAGCATTGATTGCTAATGTACAAAAACTTTTTTTATTTTTATTTTTTATTTTTTTTCCTTTTTGTCTTTTTTCGTGACCGGCAACGGATCGCATCCCTCAGTGTCGCGCCCGTACCGGACCAGGACCGGCCACGGGATCGCAACCCTCGGTGTTGCTCTCGCCCCTCGCTCAGCCAGTGAGCGGCCGGTCTGTATGTGGGATCTGAACCCTCGGCGGGAGCGCCGCTGCACTTCCCAAGCGGCGCACTATAGCAGTGCGCCACCGGGCCGGCCCCCAAAAACTTTTTTACACTATTTAAGTTTTACTGCTTTACTTAAATCCTTTTTTTGTTTTCTGATGGACTCAAAGGAAGGCTTTTTATCTTTATCTGATAAGATCTTTATCTTTGCTATTTGAGTTTAAATTCCATTTATAAGAGTCAGAGAATATGAATAAGTATAGAAATATAAGTAATAATGGAAAGGGGTTGTTTGTGATTAGGTCTTGACCCTTTTGGGGGAGTGTTCACGGTCAGAACCTGATGGATACAAGCATGAAGGGGCTTTCCAGAAGCATACAAATGGCACACTTTTATGAGAAATGTTTCATATTCTTTTTTAAAAACCTCCATTTTGAAACAATTTCAAACTTACAGAAAATTTGCAATAAAGTTCCTCTAGTAACTTTGTGCAAGGGTTACCCCCACATACTCTTCACCCATATTCACCAATGTAACATGTTGTCTCATTTATTCTCTCTCTCTGCATATATATGTATAAAATGTTTTCCTCCTGTATCATCTGATAGTAAGTTGCAAACACAGTGCTCCTTATCATTACCTGAACTATGAGGTCACCCATTTACAGAACCATAGAACAGTGATCAAGCTCAGGAAATTTATCATTGATATAATACTATTATCTAATTTATAGATCATATTTAAATTTTACCAGTTGTCTCAATAATATTTATATCAATTTTTCTTCTTGATCCATCATTCATAGCAGGAGCACACAATGCATTTAGGTTTTGTTTTCTTTGTTTAATCTGCAATGATTCCTCAGCCTTTGTTTTTAATGATACTGACATTTTTTGAGAGAGCGGACCATTTATTTTGTAGATTTGCTCTCAATTTGTTTGCCTCATATTTCATTGTGACTTGATTCAGGTTATGCATTGTTTCAGAAATACAACATGAATGATGCTGTGGCTCTTCAGTACATCACATCAGGAGGCACATAATTTTTTTGTGTGTGTCAGTAGTGGGGGTAAATTTGATCACATGGTGAAGAAAGCGTCTACGAGGTTTCTTCCCTGTAAAGTTATTTTGTTTCCCTTTTTAACAAGGGAAGTTTATGGGCAGATACTTTGAGACTATTTATGTATCTGTTCCTCATCAAACTTTCACTCACTAGTTTTAGGATCCTTTGAATTAATTCTTGCCCAAATAAATTATTACACTGAAGAATCACAAGAGTGTGATTTCCTAATTCTTATTCTACATTTATTAGTTGGCATTCTATAAAGCAAGAACTTTCCAATTTCTGCCTTTCCCTCCACTCCCACACATCTTACTTATGATACTAGTACACTAAATAATCTATAATGATTAGACTCTTGATGTAATTTAATCTTTATTTTACATATTCATAAACTTTTTTTTTTTTTCCTTTTTTGTCTTTTTTCGTGACCGGTAATGGGATCGCAACCCTCAGTGTCGCGCCTGCACCGTGCTCAACCAGTGAGCGGACCGGTCTCTATATGGGATCCAAACCCTCGGCGGGAGCACCGCCACACTCCCAAGCTCCGCACTCTACCGAGTGTGCCACCGGGCTGGCCCCTTCATAAACATTTTTGACTTATATAAAGTTTTCGGAAATTATTTGGTGGGTGTGCTCTCAATGTTCTCATTTGCTGTCAATAGATTTCCTTATTTAACTGTTTTAAAGTTCTTTATAATAGTTTTTATTCAAAAGTCAAATGCTATTACTCTTAGAAAAAAAAACCACTTATATTTCTACCTATAGTGCACTTAAAAATTTCAATCCTGCATACATCTGAAATACTTATATTTGAAAGTAATTGGATATTAACAATATCCGAATCAAAAACCCATTGGTAGCATCTACTAAAGCTAAATATTCACACACTGCCTAAAGCAGTGTTTATGTCCTCCAAAAGCTGTTTTCATAGCAGTTTTAGTCATAAAATTCCCATACTGTCAACAATTGTGTATCAACAGTGGAATGTATAAGTAAATTATAGTATACAACAGAGCAGTAGAAAACAATGAACTAATGCTCTATGCCCCAACACAGACAAATATCACAGACTTATTGGTGAATAGAAGTCAGATGTGAGAGACTAAAAACTGTATAAGCCATTCACGGGAAAGTAAAGAACAGACGAAATCAACCTACAGTGACAGACATCAGAATAACGGTTATCTTTGAGGTTTATTGAGAGAAAGGAGATTGGATATAGCCTTCTGGGATGTTAAAAATATTTTCTATATTGACTTAGGTAGGTATTGGTTAAAAGGATCTATGCATGTCTAAAAAGTTATCAATCAGTATAATTAAGATGTACATATTTTACTGTATGTAAACTAAAGAAAGTTTTTAAAAATCTGATTTTTAAAATTTTTATTAGTAATGTTAATTTGCTGATTAGGTTTCAATCTGAAGTATCACACTTGATATATCACACACAAATTCAAGAGATGCCAGATAGGTGTTCAGCTCTTCATTCCTCTAAACCCAACGTTCAAAGTGAAATCAAAAGTTGGATTTTGGCCAAATGCTAAGATATTGGCATAAAAACAGGCAATGCCATGGGAAACAATGGGAAGATCAGAAAAAGAAAGTGTGTGAGTTCCTACTCAAGGTAAAATAAAAGACGCCATGAATAGATGGGGAAAGATACATTATTTGGTAAATGATGTTGGGGAAACTGGTAGAAATATGAAGAAAAATAAAACTGATCCCTACCTCACACCACTTACAAAGGTGAACTCTACGTGGATTAAAGAGCTAAATGTAAATGGTAAAATTATAAAGTTAAAGAGAAAATATAGGAGCATTTCATGACCTAGAGATGAAAAAAGACTTCTTAAACAAGACCTCAAAGTATCACCATAAGAAAATAAAAAAGGATGGATTTGTTTTCATCAAATTACAATTAAGGATGAAGTTAACAGATTAGAAGAAGTTATTTGCAATGTCTGATATCGACAAAGGACCATCTGCAAATCAACAAGGAAGAAAAATACAGGAATATCAGTAGAAAATACCAAGAGAAAAAGCAATTTATAGAAGAGGAAATTGACTAGATGTAAACACAGCAACATAAATGGACCTTAAAACATTATGCTGAGCTAAAAATAGGAACATAATGGGTTATGCAATATATACTTTCCAAAATAGTACATATTTTGCAAAAAATATACAAAATAAAAGGATGCACATTGAACACATTGGAATGATTGGCTGTTTATGACAAGTGAGGACTGAGGGCTGGGGAGTAGTCTCACTGTTTGGAATGCAAATTTGCAATTAATCCCAATTTTTGGAATGATGTCTCTCCCTCCCCTTCTGCTGTGTTGAGAACAAAATCAAGAGTCTCCCCAATTCAATTTTCCCAGGATATGAACCTCATTTTTCTTTCCCAGAACTTTGATGAATCTCTCTTCTGGCCACACTTTTCAACCCTGTTTTCTTCACTTGGAGCCCCACAGTTCTGGAGGCTGGGAATTCCAAGGTCAAGATGTAGCTTGCTTTTTGTTGGCATTATTCTCTAGGATATTTAAGGCTCAATTTTCCCTGCCACTATCATCCTCTTTCCACCAAATTTGTGGACATAGCCCTTCCACTGATATCTCCATTCTCTTTGCCTTCCTTTCTATACTTTCGACAACATTTTGTTACTGTCATTTTCCTAGAGTTTTAGGAGGGAGCAGGGATTATGAATTAATCTGTTAGGTTTAAGTGCAATGGAGGCTAGAAACTCTTCCTTTTGAAGAACATTTCAACATTCGATTTCAGAATATAGGATTCCCAAAAGTATTTTCTAATTTTTCAGCATTAAATTATGAAATCTTAACTAAGATCATAGTATTGTTGAGTGATGTGGAGTAGACTATAACTTAATTTCTCTTTAATTTTTTTTGTTTTTTGACATTCCAGGTGAGAGATACTAAGAACCTGGATTTAGACAGTTGCAGTAAGTACAGAAAGGATGAGGGGAGACTGAAGAGGTAGAAATAACAGAAATTACAAAATGAGTGACAAAGGATGACTCTAGATGGCTTGTATGACTGCCATTTGTGGAAAAAGGCATTATAGGACTGATGGAGGTGTCTTAAATGTAGCTTTATTATTATTCAGGTGAGGCCAACAGATAGGTAGGTGATTGCAATTGAAATAATAGTTTGTTACACTCACAGATCCATCTCAGAAACCAAC